CAAGTTCTTCTTGGATGCCAGCTACCTTTGGAAATCTGGCTCTGAATGTTTCAGCACAAGGGCTTATCTTTCCTGGAGAACCACAAACTTTCGTGAGTGCCATAAAAGCTAGGAAAGTGGCAAAATTTGGTTAAAGACAACAGAGTGAAAGATAGAACATGGTATATAAATAGGGTGTAAGTGACCAAACTGGAGAAAAGCAATTTGAAAGAGAAACACTTTTAGTAACTTGGGAAAACTGCAAATAACTGAGAAAAGACATTGAAAGAAAACTATTTCTTCTGGCAATACTTCCTAAACATCTTAGCTAAATTCCAGTGTTTTCCTATGCAGTTTCAATAGTTATGCTGGTATAACATGCATAACCCAGCAATAGAGTTTTCCTTATGAATTAATAGCGTTGACAAATGCAGAAAGCTTTACAAAGATTAGGACCATTGGATTTCAACAAATGTATAGTAATGGTTTAGTTTAATGACATTTTGCATCATGATTAGAGACACAGAGATTCGAGCAGGTCTAACGGGGAGCGCTGGAGCACAGGCACGCAAATCACTTCTGCTTCTTTATGCTCTGGGAACAAATGGGGAATCTTTCAAGGCACTGCTGAAGCAAACTAAAGGTCAGTCTTTGAACGCTATCCAATCCATTTTCTCTCTTAATAGTATTACAAATAAGTGCTGTCCTGCAAACTGCAGTGGTTGGTGGCCTGGTGCAGCAGCAGCAGGAGTGATGTGTGACAGTGAAATATTGAAATAACTCATCCGAAGCTCTCGCAGATTTGGAGCCCACTTTCTGTTCCAAGGTAGTCATAACGGGGAAGGTTTGGGTGTTCCCGTGTGTTCGTGTGGAGATACAAGGAAGCCCAGCACACACAGGACACTGTCTCGTCCCCAGCGAGGAAGGCAGCGTCAGCCAGTACCAAGTGACAGGGCACGGGGGCCAGACCACAGATTTTTTTTTCTTTTCTTAAATTACGATAATGGCAGAATACTGCTCTGTCCCTACAAATATATATATATATATATTTCTAGCACCACAAAATAAATCTACATCAGAATTTATGGTGCGAGGTGGTTTTTTTTGCAGCTGGCCTTGTGTCACCACCGCATTCTTTGTTCCTCCGAATACCCTGGCAAATCCAGCAGCCATTCCCCAACAGTTTGAGCCCGGTGTAACTCAGGACATGGAGTTAGCTAGCGCTACATGACTTACTTGACAGAATAAAGGGTATAGCATTAAATTAATACTTGTGAAAGGTTATGACATTACTGAGAAAGTTTTTATTTTCCCTGCATTTGTGTCCTCATTTTTTTAAAGGATTGGGAAAGGACGGGCCTCTTCCGCCTTCACTGTGAGGTTTCAGTGTGGAAACAAGCACTGGAACAAGCGCTCGCCGCGGCTGAGCCGGCCTCTCCAGCACCTCGTGCTCTCCGCTGAGCGCAGAGCTGAGCTCTGGAAGCCTGTACCTTAGGCTGTCTGTACATATACGTGCCTCAACTGACGCGTAGGTTGTGGAAATCTCTCCAATCTAAGGAGACAAAGAAGCTCGGATACCTCTCCCAGTGTGCTTAGACCTTGCATTCATCTCAGATCTTATGCATAGAATATTAAGGTTTCAGTTTTTGGAAGATATTTATGAAGGAAAGGGGTTCCCAAACTGGTGGTTTTGGAAAAGGGAAAGATTCCTTTACCTCTTGCTATGTTACCCTCTCTTTTTCTTTTTCTTCTTATTTTTTTTCTGTTGAGATTCTCTTCTTTTTAACTAAAAAATAAAGTATCCTAGATGGCTGGAATCAATTACAGTCCTTGTGTATATCAAGTTTGATTAAAATACAGGTTTTCACTGCCATTTATCTGGAGAAAATGCAAATGCAAACATATGCAGAGAAGATGATGGGGCCTTTTTCTTCTTCTGTTTAAAGGATTATTAAAATTTAACCCCCAATATTTCTATTGGAATAAATGTTATTCTTATCACAGAGCAACAGTGAGGACTCATTTCAGGAGCGCATCCCCGAGCTGAGCACTGGGCTCTGTGTAAATAGCACAGGCTTCGCTTTTTCACCCATCAGAAACTGAATATCGCATACATTTGATACTGTATTTTTTGACAAATGTTGGAACTTTACATTAGATAAAACTAATGATAAAACTTTCAAAATAAACACAGCATTTTGGAAATATAAGCAATTAAATACACAATTAAAAATAGGTACTGTTTGCTAGTTGTATTCAACTCACTGTAAATGCAATAAGCATTTACAGCAGCATATTGTATAGGAAAAAATATTTCCCTTACAGACCTTGTATTATTTTTTCAAGCAGAAACTGATAGATATTTAGGTCATATTTATACTTTTGACACAAAATCCTAAATAATTTGCAGTTAACCAAACTGCAGGGAATATTTTTCCTTCTTTTCCTTCCTTTCCAGGAAACCTCTTTCAGACATTTTGGATGGGGATCTGATGCAAGGAAGAATGCACTGAATGACGTCTAAAACCTGGGGGCTGATAAACATTTATGTAGCCATAAAACCAAACCAGTGGCATGTTGTGTTGTGTTCAAGGGGTGGGAGAGGATGCCGGTGTTGGAGAAGAAAAACGGAAATAAAAATGGATGCCTGCCAAATCCAAAAACACCGTGTCCAGAAAAATAACTGACTGTGAAGAACATCCTCTCTTCTTATATAACAGATGTTGTTGAACTTATTTTTTTAAAAAAGTACAACTACGCTATGAGTCATAGGGTGCAACCGCAACTGAGAAAATGTTTATTGGCCTTTTAATTAAAGTACATTGTGACCAGTGGAATCAAGATTATTATTAAATCTGGAGCCAGCTATGGAAAAATATGATTTTTTATTTAGCTGATCACAGTGAAGAAACTAATGCCAATATTAATCCAAGAAATATATGCCAAATTATCCGTTCAGTTATTTTCGTGATGTTTGGGAAGCATATTATTAAGGAAAGTAACTGAAAGTTAATTTTTCAGATGGAGGTGCATTGGGCAGAATAATGAATAGCGTGCGATGTCAGATGAGATGCTGGGACATGCTCAACTATATCAAGGAATGAAAATCAAGTAGGACATCAGAAGCAAAAATTCCCTTTAATCCACAGTAATTGTAAATGGAAATTCACTAGTAAAATCTGTATAGAGCTTTATCACAATGTTAAAAACATGGTCGTAGTAGGGAAGAATACGAAAAAATACTCCAATTTTACTAGAATGCATGTCTCACACACTTTATTCTATCTTTTCTATAAGTTTATTATTTTCTATTAAGTACCCATATTTTGAATTTTCAAATGAAACAACTTCCGTATGAATACTTGCAGCCTTCTTAATTATGTCCCTCTAAACAACTTTGTATTTTCACACCAGTTCACGTTTTTCATTCTTATTTATTGCTGAAGGCTGCTCACAGTAGCAAGGCCAGTGGGACTGGGTCCTTTGAGGAAAAAAGGATAAAAGGAAGTTGCCTCATGGGTCTCCCAGACTAAGGCTGAGTTTCAGCATGTCCACTTGGTGCCTATACCACTAAATCCATAAAACAGGAGCCTGAAGAAAAACTTTAAGACTCCCATAAAAGAAAATGAGATAAAACTCTTTCCAGCAGCTTCTTTCAGGAGCAGTATGGGTTTACTTTATTTTCTCCAAAACAGAAAAAGGATATTCTAAGAAAGAAAGCATTTTCAGCAGAAATCTTTAAAAGTCTAGGCTAAAAGAATACAGAAAGGACTACAACATTTGTCTAGGAATTACAATAATTCTGTTCATGCTATTAACGTAACGGAATTTATCCAAATAAAAATAGCTCATGAGCCACAGGATACATACATAAGGTATGTTTAGATTACCAGTTGGATGCATATTTTTAAAGACCTTTTACAGGATGTACAAAATATGATGAAGCAGGAAAATAATTACAAACAACTGTGCAATGTAATAAGTGTTCTCACTGATTCTTTATTAGTTTAAACAAAACTGAAGCCTAAGAACAACATGCCTCTCAATTCAGAACAAAGCTGTTGATGTTATAGCTACGTACTTTGCATTTGCTTCCCTCTGGAAGTTGTTGAGATCAGTTGCACACAGAACAGAACTAGAATTTTCAAAATTAATACCCCTGGTAAAGTAACGAACTTATTCAAAAAGAATGGATAAGGAAAGGAAGGAATCTCTAGAGTCTACAATATTCGTGTGTTAACTTGTTTTCTATGATTTGCTATGCACATTTAAGCTTTTTTTATATACTAGTATTCTCCAACACTGACAGATCTGTTCTCCTAAATGAGATAAATGCTTGCAAAAAAACTCATCTCCGACATCTGAAGAAAATCAAATTATAATTGAATAACTGTCTGACTATCATTAAACTTTTTTGCTTAGCTGCTTTAATTAAGGAAATATGCACAGGAGAACATTATGTTAATTTTTCAACTGTTTGTGTCCTATAGAAATAAAAGGAGCCTGCCTGCCATTGTTTTGCTCCTGATTAAAATTCAGTACATTAGCACAGCTGAGCAGATGTGTGCCTACATGCCATACCAGGAGCACATCTCCGAGGGGCACATCAAGAGGGGCTTGTAAAGCTTCATTTTGGATCCGCAGTCTCTGTCAGTGCACTCAGTTAAAACTTCCGTTTGGAACAGGCAAGAACAGCCTACCAGAAATGTACTACTCTACAACCTACCACTTCAGTAGAAACTTTCTAATTGAACAATTAAATCAAAATAGTGTCTTCAGTTTAGTAGCAGCAAATTTGACCAAGTCTAAAGTGACAATGAAGCTACAATTTTGTAAAATAAGGCCAAACTGAAGACACAGAATGGCACTTTTGCACTTATGCAACCCAACAAAGTATATTAATTGTAATAGTTACTGAGTTAGAGTAGTGGACTGAATGAAGGAAAGATGCATTCACAGTGACACTTGAGGCACTAACTATGATTAGTTGCAAGGCATATTATAGTATGGTTTTTGTAGTTTAAAAAAGTAATACCTTTAAAAACCCTCCACTTCACATTTTAGATGGGAACATTCACTTCTGTATATACACTAGTCAGTAAGCTAGAGTCCTTATTCCCCTTCCTTTACTGCGCGGAAGGAAACGCAGGTCAGCTGAACTGCTCTTCTAAGAGATGCTAGAGGGAGTGTAGTCAAAATTCTTGTTCAGTGAATTTACCAGTCTTCAGGTGAGGACACTACGGCGTTAGACTCTGTATTTTGCTTTGCCATGATCATTGATAACACATATGTGCTGAAAAAAAATATAACAGTGATTGTAACAGCATAATTGATTGCATTATTAATTAGCAATGAATTGTTCAGAAATGCATTTGTTTGACCAACCCAGTGATCTTGAATTATCCCTTTTCTCTCCAGAGACCTGGAATTGGGTTCTGATTTTACTGTCTAGCTATAGAGAGTTTTTCCACTTGTAATTCCCAGCTTTGAACTCCACCCCTGGGAGTATCACAGGAAGCCCTGGCAAGGGTGGCACCTTTTCTCCATCATTGTCTTCAAGAAAAGAGACAGATGACAGAGCAGGGAAGTGCCAGGGCTGTCTGAGCGGTAGCCAGGTTGCACTTTCCCCTGCTGTCCCTGCCCGCAGTGTCGCCCGAGGTGGTGGGACTGCCAAGCCCCAGGTTCGCAAACCATGGAAGGGTGACAAAGGTGACAACCTCTGCTCTTAGCAGGGAGAGAGTGGAAGCCATGAGGAGGAATCCTGCGCAATGCTGAGCAGTGACTCCTTGGGTTGTTGAGGCTTTCCAGGGAGGCGGGTGCTCACTGAAAGGATCACAACCATGACCTAAGACGCCAGTGGGGAGGGAAACTACAGGCCCTTTAAGACACCTCAGGAAAGCAAAGCAATGATTTTGTGAAAACACTTACATTTAGATCTCTGAAGTGTTCATTGTAGTCTAAGGCATAACCTACCACAAATAAATCGGGAATTTCAAATCCATAATCTGTATTGAGACAAACAATAAACAGCATCAGTACAAACTAGGTGGCTCTTACGCAGCCCTTCACTTCCTACGCTGATTCTCTGACCAGAAAGCTGCAGGTACGCGCAGGCAGTTCGCGTTACGCTCCTTGTGCCCGCCCAGCCGGGGCCAGCAGAGCTCAGCGGGCACCGCCGCTGCACAGGCCTCGCGCCATGCGGAAAGGCCAGAGCGGGGCAAAAAGGCTCTGCCCGCCCACTCCCTTGGCATACGTGTGTGATACCAGCTGCCCAGGATCACACTACTGATGAAATGAAACAAAATTTAATGAAGAACTAACTTACAGAACTACACAGGGTCTTATACGTTACCTCCTGAGGGCTGCAAAAACTGTTCCACACGTTTTACTACCAAAATGTCTCAGATGCTGAGCAACTAAGGCCGTAATCTTATGCAGACTCATGCACGTACTTGCTATAAAGTGACTGGATGTGCCGTAGTTGAGTCCTACAAGTGGCACACTTCAAGCTAAGCCTGAGCACAAATCTTCTGAGTGTGAAGCCCGGTGCTGCGTCAGTACCATATGAAAAGAAATAGACCATTTCCAAATTATTCACTATCTAGCTAGACAAAAACACAACCTCACCAGCACAACAATAGGCTGGCATAAAAAATAAAGATCTTCAAGGGAGAGTTATATTCATTTGTTAAAAATCTGTGGGTAAGAGGCATGTTGGAATTGCAAATTCAGCTAAGTGAGGAACAGACACAGCACTTTTGGTGATTTACAGGAGGGGCCTCCAATGTTCTAAACAATTCATCTCAGTTCAGTAGAAAAGAAAGTGGAAAACACCTGTTTCATTTATAAATTATTACATAAACATATTAAACTTTCATTTATACAGTAATTTTATTGCATTTAATATGTTTAACATTAATGAACTTAGTAAAATATATACTTTAATTTATTGGATTAAATTCCAAATAGTTAAAAAAATGTTGCACATGAAAATGGTAGATGTCATGTGCTTTCCGGATCAGGGGAAGAAGAGGGGAATTTATTTATAATATCATTACTTAGCCATAGCACTTCTCATTTTTTTTTCTATAAAAATGTAAACCTTGAGAACAACTAGGTCAGAATTAAAAAGAATTTAAAAAATGTTTAAATGGAATCCTGCAGCTCCTTCAAAGAGAAGTCATGAAGAAGGGAAGAAAAAGGCTCTGTTTCACCTGTAATGGATAAAATCTAACTTTTCCCTAACTTTCTTATAAAGTTGGCATTTACAGAAAACATCAGGCTATAATGAGGCCAGGATTTCCAAACCACCATTACACAGCTCAGCCCATTGCATCCTATAAGCCCACTGACTCCTGAAATTTCACATTTCTAGTAGTTACTAAAGTTACTAGAAAAGTAGAGAATGGTAACTGTGATATAAAGAAGATTTTTCACAACACCACTTACAATCTGGTCTGTACCCATCAGGTCGAGATGTTCTTTTCACAAGCAAACTGTAATTAAAAAGAACAAAAGAACTAAATCTAGATATTTATCTGAATAATATGCATAAAAAACTATTCCCTTGGTCAAAAAAAAACTTGAATCACATTTCTCTTTCTGCTTTTCCTTGCAACAATGTGTTGATGGCAGGGAAGAGGTGGGTTAGTTCCCCTTCAGATGCCACTGGTGCCAGTCTCGTCATGGCAGGAGGGTCATTGCCACCTCAGGACAACGCAAGGGCATTTCTGCTCCACTCCTCTCTTCTGCCTGTCCAGATTGGGCAATTTTCTCTGTTTGGTCCAGTCAGCTAGTTTATTAGTAAGTTTTGTGGTTGTTTTACTTACCTTGCTACTTTAATCATTTTGGGCTTGTATTTTTCAATGTTATTAAGCAGAACCTTCATGGTTCTTCCAGTTCCAACAATATCCTTACAAAACAAAGTAAAAACAGTAAGCAAAACACAAAGCAAAGCCTAAAGGACTTCCACATTCTTATTTTGTGGAAATGATATTGCTTCGCCCAGGGTATTGTGAGCCACATCCTAGAAAGGTTAAGACGGAGCTTGCATTCCTTGAAGCAAGCACTTTCTACTCAGAAAATAAACAGCTAAGGCCCTGTCCAGTTCCTCTTGAAAAGAGTTACATTTGTAGCATGCAAGTACGCAGATGTCAAGACTACAATATGCCAACATTTGTGCATCTCAAGTCAAATCTGTTCTATTTGTTACTTAGTCCAGCAAAAAAGAGTATTCTGCACTGAACCTGATCTAAATGAGATAAATAAATATATGCCTACCCAACTGAGCATCACATGGAAATCAGCTGTTGCTCATGAACTTTATAGATGTGCAATTTACATTAGCAAAACTTTACCTCTATTCCTCAGCTATCAAATAGCTTTAACAAATTTTGCTGCAGACTTTTTTTTTATTCCTGTCACAGCAATTAGTGTTAACAAACATGGAGCTCCTAGCAGTTATTACACTAACTACCCATCTCTGCGGCTGCTGATTTTCTCCCTCTGCTATGGACAGACATTCCATTATCTGTACATTTTCCTCATTACTCTGTCCCCCTTGCTGCTCCTGACTTACACACAGGTTGGGGCCTCAAATGCTCAGCGGATCCTGACACACCTTCTAAAGGTCTCTAAAGGTCTTCTAAACATCTCAGTTGCTTTTCTACCATTTTTAAAGGGAATCACCTGCATTAATTAATCTTGCAGTGCCACTGAGATGACACTTTTTTTAATTTGGCTTCTCTACAGCCGAATGCTGTTGATTTTCACCAGCAGCTAGCTTGTCTGTAGTGTTGCTTCCCGGGGGTACGGAGGGATGCAGAGCTGAGGAGCCGTGGTCAGTCTTGTAAGATGACGTTCTCCTCTTGTGTGTAAACAGCACAGAAGCTGTAAAGGGCTGTGCTGCTCTTTCAAAGTCATGCAACTAGGAGGTTTAGGGCATTGTTGCGGTTAATTCACTGCCCTCCAAGGAACAGAACAGCTTGCAGAAGAGCAGTTCATGAAGCCATAAAAAGAACAAATCAGGTGATGCAGTAATGAGGGTTTGAGTACAAATTAGAGCCACACCAGCGAGGTTTGATTCACCGTGCAATTTCAGAGAGACTGAGAGGGCATTAAGTAAATCAACTCTTTACCCATTTCACTGCTTTCCAGCTCAGGAAGTTCAAACTCAATTGTAAATCAGCCTGTTTTAGAAACCGAAGACACAAACACGACTCTGCTATGTGACTTTACTATCCAAATATGGTATGATGGAAGTGGCCTACTTACCTCCACAATTAGAACATTCTGAAAAAAAACAAACAAAAAGAAATATGATTATACAATACTCACAAATTAAAAGAAACAACATTTTAGAAAGGAAAATGAAGATAAATATATCTATGTTCATATGTGCAACAGGCTAATATACAAGGAACTTTTGTTTGATTTGTGTGCCCTGAAAAAGAGCCAGGCAGAAATGCAACCCCTGCATTCAGGCACTCTGACTTAGTTCATCTGTCTAGATCTGTTGGGCAAGAATGGATACGGCTACAGATGATCCAAGAGCATTTGGAAGAAATCCAAATAGCATGAACTGCACTTTACTGCAGTGTGACCAGAAGTGTCTCAGTGGTTTATTCACATACTATTCCCCATGCTAATACAAGAATTCAGCAACAATATTTTTATTCTGAAATATGTTCCATTTTTTCCCTAGAACCCTCACAGAGTAAAGAATTATGGGCCACTTGTACCACTTTTACAACTGATCTTTGGACTGCAAAGCACCCTTTTCTCTTCAAATAATGCTGCTGGAACCAGTAGTATTCCTTGAAAACAAAGGCAGTGGCCAAGGTAAGAGCAGTGACATCTAGCCTCACGACTGATGTTTTTGCTGAAATGGTTCATCACTGTCCCAGGCAGCACCATATCTCAGATGACATCTACTCTTCTATTATAAACAATAATAATAAGTACTGTTCTTATCAGAAGCAATAAGAATCTACTTATTAGTGGGCATTATCATATGCACATGCAAAAGGATTGTGCTCCCTATTATGGTTATGCATGAAGACCTACTTTTTGAAATGCAACATATAACAGCAAAGGGAAAGTTTTCTCACATGTATATTCCTCTAGATAGATACATAAAAATATGTATCTTATGTGCATGTTCACATTTTAAGCATGTCCTGAAAATTTTGAGACTAGTTTGACTTCCATGTAGTATTCATAAGACTAGCTCACACTCCGCTTCCTTTCTACCAAGCCCGTTGGCTTTGCTGCCCACCGGATGTGGAGCTTGTCTAACTTTCTTGTCAATCACAGAATCCCAAGGTTGAGATTTCTGGGAAGGACTCAAACAGCACAGAGAAAGAGGGTATGAGGTGAGAGTGAACATGAACAAAAAACCTTTGAGAATGTCATTAACTGTTGGGTTTTTTCTTCAATCTTCAAATAGAAATAATATGCGTTATCTATATGTATATTCATGCTGAAGTTCCTCCTAACGACCCCAGTGCTTGGCGAGGAGACATGCCACGCTTTGTGCAAACAACACGTTACCACACGCTGTATTATTCCTCGATGCTCTGAAATGGCAAAACACTTGGTAAAGGTGTGGAGGGAGCTCCCAGTAGTCATTCAGCAGATGTCAGCAGTTGAGATATTCCTCAAAAAAGCCACTAAGTTAGACTGAGCCCTGATGGAATGTGCGTTAATCTTGGAGGGTGTCTCCTTTTTGCTACTTTCATAACAGGTTTCACGAGTGGTTTTCCAGCTTGGCATGCCTGACTTTCAACTGCTCAGCTGCTGACACAAACAACTTTGGGATCTAAGAGACCTCATCCTGCGGAGGTAAAGAGTCAAAGCCCTCTTAGCAACAAAAGTCTGAAGAGATCCTGCATCTAGAAACGTCTTCCTTTAAAAAAGAATGGAAATATATTAATTCTCCAGTTAAGATGAAAGACCAAAACCATGTTTAGGAGAAGCCTACAGCATGTTTATAGGGACACACTATTTTAAAGGACACCAGGCAGAGGAGCCAGCCAAAAGGGCTGGGACCTCATGTCACTTCCTAGATGGAATCATAACCAGGAAAAGGCACTTTCTAAGATGAGGGCAGGCTACCTGGTCTCAGTGGATCACCAGATGCAATCAGTGCACACCTGAAGATTATGCACAGGAGTAATGGTTCAACAATCCTCCTGAGAAACTTGCCCAGCATATATATACATATATATACATACACATATGTGGGGATATGCACATGTATATATGTGTGTGTGTTCAGGTAGATATTTATACATGTATATATGAGTGAATGTATATATATTTATATATGCACACACATTTAAAATGTTATATATGTGTGCGTGTATGCAAGTGTATATAAAAAATAAAGAGCAATCCACAGATGTGCGGAGAGCTACAGGTGGCAGTGGAAAAAAATCACTAGAACTAAGGAAGAAGATGAATACTTTTAATTTCTAGCAAATAATCCGGGATGACAGGGCCTGGACAGGACAACCCAACAGCATGAACGTGACATTCTTACCCACTCTGCCGTCTTAATGCAACTCTTGCTGTTCTCCATACTGTTGACAAGAAGTTTCCTCACAAAGCAAAAGCAGATGTCTTCTAGCGAAAAGACCTATCCAGCAGCTATAGCTTGAGACAAGACACACCAAAACTGACACCACAGGTGGCTGCAGAACCCCACATCAGCAAGCTGTGCCGGGGTGTAGCGAGGGCCAGTTGCTCTGCAGGGGAGCCAGGAGCTGAGAGCAGTAACACATCTGGCAGGGTAGGGAGCTCTCCAGTCAGGGCCCAGCCTCATAACACCCAAGTGAGGAGAGCAGGGCAGACCCAGAGACGGCAGCCAGGTTCAGCCAAGAGTCAGATGATCAGTCAGCTTTGCCGTGGGGAAGGTCTGAGGTCAAGCCAGGAGGTCAGTCCTCAGGCCAGGGTCAGGGTCGGGTCAAGGGACCATAACCAGTGTTAGACATAGCCCAGTGATCACCAGGAAGGTCCACAGTGATGAGACCTGGTCTTGAGACTGACTGAGAATGAGGATTACAGCCGGCTGAGAGAGAGACAACTTAGTAATTAACTTGTGAGTAAAAAATGTAGACATTAATAAAAAATGGGTCTGACTAGAAACCTTGAATGGTCATGAAGACTGTTCTCCTGGCCCAAAGCATTAACTTAAACTAGCCCCGGCTGATATCTGATTTACCTGTTCTTGAACCTGATGAGGACGTCAGAACCTCCTCAGGCAATATGTTTCAGTGCCTCATTATCTAGGAGCAAGAATATGGTTAGAAAGCTTCTGTTGATATTTGACCTGAGCTTGTTTTGCAGAGGATATAGAAAAGAAACTTATTTTCTTCTTTTTAGCTTCTTTGGTATTTTAAGACAGATATATATCCTCAACTTTCTCATTTTCAGGTTAAACCACTGCTATTCATTCAAGAATTCCTCACAACTTACATTTCTATTTCTATTTCTTTCTTTTTCTTCTCTGGAATATGTTCAGTTGGTCAGAAACCCTCTACAGTTGTGGCTGTGGTTCTCTCAGATTGAGAAGCTTTTTCATATATTGAGAAGAACAGAAGAATCTGTATGATGAATCTGTATCCTCCTCTTTATATATTCCAATACCATGCCTATTTTGTAAAGGTACACTGTTGACTCATGTTGAGTCTGTGATCCACCTGTCATTTCCAGTCCAGAACCATTGCTTAGTCAGTCCTTCCTCACTTTGCGTTTATGCAAAAGATCACTTCTACATAAACACAGAAGTTTGTATTAATCTTTACTGTCATTACATGCCAAATTCATTCAAAGCATTACGTGCCTTGGGCCAAATTCTTAAAAGAATTCTTAAAAACATAATCCTACCTTGTAGTATTGTTTCAGGTGGTAACATTAGCATTAAATGCTATTTCCATCTTTTAAATCATGAATGAAGTATTTCATAGTCCCTGAAGACTATCCTTTAATGAATCCTTCCAGTCTGGCAGCAAAGCATAATTAACTTTCTTGAAAAGAGCTTTCCAACTAGTTATACATCCATCTAATAAAAATTTAAACTAAGCTACGTTTCCTTATTACAAATGACTTGAAGGGAAGAAGGTGAATATGCATCCAGACATGACTGGATCGACGATCTGTCTGATCATAAGAGTGATAGGGTAAGATCTTGTATTGATTAGTTAACTTGAGAAGGAAGGACAGTGGTGGATGCTGACATTCTGTCATTCTTACCACTTCCTTCTCAGATTCTGGGAGTCAAAGAGATGTAAATGGGAGTTGTTGCACTGGTTATTTCGGTCCTTTGATAGTGCCTTTAATCAGCTCCTTGTCTAGCTCATGAAGCACAGACACTCTATTTTGTATAATGCATATTCTCATTATTTCCAAAACATAAGTAAAGTTTCCCTGTGCTTTGGAGAGTGTAAGAACTTTATACTGGAAAGCCCCTCTAAAGCATTTAGGTAAGAAAACATTTTATATTTATTTATATATATATATGTATATATATGTATACATATATACATATACATATACATAGATAGATAGATAGATAGATAGACAGACAGACAGACAGACAGACAGATAGATAAGCAGGCAGCCTAATACTTGAGAATGACACATGAATCCCTCTTTGACTAGCCAGGGACTTTTGATGTGACTGAAGGCATCCCAGATGGTTTGCCATTTTGCCCTCACTGGTACTAAACTACCTGATGTGTTTGGAAACTTCCTGTATTGCTACCACTACAAGAAGAGAGCCTGTTGAAGCAGACTGCTGGTAAAGCAAGTAGATAGAGTAGCAGAGAAATACACTGGGGAAAAATGGTTTCGGTACACAGTATCCAAGACAGCTGGCTGAAATGCTTATCATTGAGCAGATGCTTAGAAGATTATGAATACAACAGGTTGATATGTTTTTAGTATTGTCAGCATCACCCTAAATGTACAGCTGGCTGCATCTAGCACACACTGGGAAAGGGCACTGAGATGGGCTAGGTCTTACCTGGCTTCACCATAAAACCCGCCTGTGAGCTGATGGGCAGGAGACTGGTGAAACTGCTTAGCTTTTGGTGACGCCGAGTGAGTGAGACCTCGACAAGAGATATGCCAAGGACACTGAGCACATCTTTTTTCCAAGGATATGTGCTTGTGTGCTTGGGGGGCTTCTACCATATAGAGCAAGCCTGGTTTGTTCCTTCAGATACAGCTGTGGCAAGGAAACCAGAGAAGAAGAAGAGTAATGTAGGCTTCTAGCACGTGTTCAATAT